TTCATCTCCTTCCTCAATGGTCAGCCCCAGTCCATGTTGACAAGAGGGAGAAGATCACATCTACTCATGTGGGGTACCTCAGTGTTTAATGCTTTCATCCCCGCTTTTTAATATCTACATGAAACTACTGAGTGAAGTGATTTCAGGGTTCAGTATTATTAATAATCAATTGTGCATTTCAATCTTGGGCTGCATACGTGAAGTTGGAGGCCTGGATAGGAAGAAACACTTCAGCTAGGATCCCAGGAAGATTGAGTTGTATGTCTATTGTGGCCTCTGGGTTGATAATATTGTCACCTTTGGAATGGGATAGGGTTGCATTTCCCCATTTAAGACTAGTGTGCAACTTGGAAGTTGGACTGGACTCACAGTTATTGTTTGAAGAGCAGATAATAGGTGTGGCCAGGAGAGTCTTTATGTAGGTTCACCTTGTGTGTCAGTTGTGCCCTTTTCTCAATCACGAGGTTCTTCAGATGATTGCTAGTCACCTCACAACTGAACAATGACAATACATTCTATATGGGGCTGCTCTTGTATACCATCTAGCTACAGTTGGTTTAAAAAGCAAGGGTACAGGCAGGAACAGTTACTCATCACTATGCTAATGAGTCATTGCTGCTGCACAAACTGCATTAGTTATTGTTTGACTTCTGGCTGAAATTCAAGATGCTGATTCAAACCTATAAAGTCCTTAGTGGCATAGAGCCTAGTTATTTGACAAATTGTCTGTTTCCCATTATTCCTGCTCATCGGTCCAAGTTAGTGCACTCTGTGTTCCTTCTACAAAAATTGTGATCTTGTGCAACCGAAGAAGTGTGCCTTCTCTGTCATGGCCTTTTCTCTCTCTAACACAACATCTAACCAGAGATATATGTATAAACTCCATTATATCAAATGTAATTCAGATGAGACAGTTACATTTATGTTAATTTTATCATAATTTTATGATATGCTAATTTCTTTTACTGGTGTAATGAAACATTAAGGAAAATTACAGAAATTGCCATTTGCCTAATGATAAAATTGCACAACTGATAAATAGTGCTTTAAAATGAGGTTTCATTGTACTGTATTATTGTAATTGCATAAAAAATGTAATACTATTACTTGATATTGTTATTCTAAATTCTAATAAATTCTCATATTAGCTAATCCAGTTTTCATAGTCAAATCTATTTTCCATTGTTATGCCCATCAATTCCAATAAATTTCAGTAATTATTTCTAACTTTAGTAATAGTTTTATTATATTTCTTTACATCAATATGCAATGATGTAAACTTTAGCATAATTTTAAACATAAATTTAAAAAAATTAGTTTTAAAGATAATAATGTACAACTTTAAAATTAAGAAAATTCATATACAGTGGTGAAACTGATGATTTTTAGCTAATGTATTTGGCTGTTTGTATTTACTACACACACACATACACACACACCCCTGTTCATCTTTGGAGGTTAAAGAGATATATATGTTTCCCCATGCTCTGGTTTAAGTTCCTTCACTAGCTAGATGATAGATGACAGCTAAATAGATGCAGATAGAAGACAGACAGACAGAGCCAGAGCCAGAGCCAGAGCCAGAGCCAGAGCCAGAGCCAGAGCCAGAGCCAGAGCCAGAGCCAGAGCCAGAGCCAGAGCCAGAGCCAGA